TGCTGTGGTGAGGGAGATGCTGGAGTCGTGGCAGAGGCGGGTCGTCATGGACCCACCCCCCCCTGTTGCTGCCCCTTAGCATCTGCCATCCCTGTAGTCTTCGCTCCGTGCTCTCTGTGGCTGGTTCTGGGAGCCTGTGTCCCCAGGGCTGTGTTAGCAGCCAGGCGGCCCTGGTTCTGGGCCGGGTTGTTTACAGGTGCCTTCAACCTTGTCTGCGTGGACTGGAGTTAATGCCCACGTTAGGGCTTGGTAATGAGCACCTAACGAGCATCTCCAGAGGGCTCAAAGCAAGGTCATCGGGTAATTAGGCCCGGAGTCAAATGAAAAAGAACGGTGTCATTCACAAGCTTGAACTGCTTGTAGACAGACAGCTGGTCTGGCTTTGAACTTGTTCACAGCCAGTGTTGCACTAGGACCTGTGCTGTGCTGGCCCCGGGCTGCAGGGTGAACAGAGCCACCGTTCCCACCCCCATGAAGCTGCGTGAGGAAAGGGCGTGGCAGGAAATAGACGCATGTGCAAAGTGCCTGTGTCACACACTGGTCAGAGCTGCAAGGACCGTGAGTGAGGGAGCACAGAGTGCCTTAGATGGTGCTCGGGAGTCTGCTGATAGTTGCGTTTGTGCAAAGACCCAAAGGAGAAAGACAGATCCATGTGCCAGGGGACACACATCCAGGCAGAGACACATGGCATGCCAGGGTCCTGTGGCAGGAAGTGCTCAGTGACTGTGAGGTGCAGGTGGCTGTCAGGTGCATGCCAGTGCATGTGTGTTCAAGGTGCAAGTGTGTGTGAGATGTAGGCAGGTGCAAGGTGAGGGTGTGTGTAGGCACATGGGTGCAGGCACATGTGGGTTCAAACACATGCAGATATGGGCATGTGCAGTGTGTGGATGCATGTGGGGTGTGGGCAGGTGCACGGTGTGTGTACGAGGGTGTGGGGGTGTGGGTATGGGCGTGTGTGGGATGCAGGCGCATGTGTGGTGTGTGTGTGTGTGTGCAGGGCATGGGTGCCTGTGCGGGATGGGCATGTGTGGGGTGTGTATGGGTGTGTGTGGGCATGTGGGCATGTGCATTGGTGTGTGCAGGGCATGCGGGCTATGAGCATGTGTGGGGTGCAGGCATGTGTGGTGTGTCTTCCAGGCTCGTGTGGGGTGTGTGGGGTGAGGGCCTGTGGGAAGTGTGGGAGCACGCAGCACAGAGTAGCTGGACAGAGTGTTGGAGTTGCGGCTCCTGTCTCGTGATTGTGGGAAGATTCATGAATTATGAAACCAAATAAAACCAAAATCAAATCCTATTTGAAGGAAGAAAAAGCCAACGTTCCTGAAACGCAGACACTGCTGTGGAGCTTGGTGTCTTTTGTTCCCTGGAGGACGGGAGTCCATGGGCAGGACCGTGTCTGGTTTGGATTGTCTGTGACCCAGGCCTGACTGAGTGACCCAGGGAAGGCATCCAGTCAGTGTCTAGTGAATGAAGGAATGAGTGAGTGGGTGAATGAGTGAGGAAATCTCAGCATCCTGTGGTGTTTGGGGTGGACGGTGTGCCAGAGAGGGGCTGGGGGCCAATGTGCTGAACATCCAAACCAGCTCCCAGTCCAGTGCTGGATGTGAGGCTGGGGGCATCCTCCTGCTATTCCTGCAAGTCCCGACTTTCCTGGCATAAAAAGTTACAGAATTTACTCTCAGTGCTGCAGGTGAGGCGTTGACTCAGGCCTGCCAGTCTGGTCCCAGCCCTGTGGCTGGATTCTGGACACCAGATCATTTGTCGGCCTTGGCCTATTCCTGGTAATTTCTGTCCTGATCCCAGCATCATCAAAACTGGAGGCTGTGCCACCTGTGTTTCAAATCCCAGCAGGGTCACCCATGTGGACAGGTTTCAGCAGCGCTTCCAGATGAAGACAGACTCAGAAGGCCCGGCCATCTACTCCTGACAATCCCCTCCAGTGAGAACATTATAGGCAGCAGCAGAACACTGTCCAATGCTGGAAGATGAGCCCCTCAGGTCGGAAGGCACTCACCATGCGACTGGGGAAGAGCTTCCTCCTCCGAATAGAGTCGACCTTAATGCTGTTGTGGGTGGAGTAAAGCTTTTGGGACCTCCATTTGCTCATAGGGCACAACTCCAAATGGAAGAAACAGCTCCAAACATCCATTAATCATCAGAATGTAGAATGTGTGAAGTACTGAATCTAGGAAAATTGGAAGTTGCCAAAAATGAAGTAGAATGCATGAAGATTGATATCCCAGGCATTAGTGATCTGGAATTGGCTGGTATTGGCCATTACGAATCAGATGATTATATGGCCTACTATATAGAGAACGACAGATTGAGGAGGAATGGCGTGGCATTCATCATCACAAAGAACACGTCAAGATCTGTCCTAAAGTGCAGGGCTGTCAGTGATAGGATCACATCCATACACCTACAAGGAAGACTAGTTAATATGACTGTTACTCAAGTTTAGGTATCAACTAGTAAAGCCAAAGATGAAGAAATTGAAGGTTTTTTTTTTTTTTTTTTTTTTTACCAATTTCAGCCATCTAAAAGTGATCAAACATGTAATCTATATGCATTGATAATTACTGGTGATTGGAATAAAAGAGTTGGAAACAAAGGAAAAGGATCAATAATTGGAAAATATGGCCTTGGTGATAGAAATAATGGCAGAGATCACATGATAGAATTTGGCAAGACCAATGACTTATTCTTTGCAAATACCTTTCTTCAACAATGTAAGTGGTGGCTGTACATGTGGACTTCACCAGACAGAATACACAGGAATCAGATCGACTATATCTGTGCAAAGAAGCAATGGAGAAGTTAAATATCATCAGTCAAAACAAGGACAGGAGCTGACTGTGGAACAGACCACCAATTGCTCATGTGCAAGTTCAAGTTGAAGCCAAAGACAATTAAAACATCTCCACAAGAACCAGAGTACAATCAAGCATCAAAAGAAGATGAAAGGAATACATAGAGTCACTGTACCACAAAGAATTGGTCAGTGTTCCGCCATTTCTGGAGGTGGCATATGATCAAGAAGTAATGATATTGAAGGAAGAAGTCCAAGCTGTACCAAAGGAACTGGCCAAAAACAGGGCTCCAGGAATTGACAGAATACCCATTGAGATGTTTCCACAAATACAGGCAACAATGAAAGTGCTCGCTTATCTTTGCTAAGAAATTTGGAAAACAGGTACCTGGCCAACTGATGGGAATATATCCACATTCATGCCTGTTCCAAAGAAGAATGATAATTTAAACATTGTTGCAACAGTGCATCGATAAGGAAGTGCCAGAAAGCCAAGCCAGATTCAGAAGAGGATGTGGAATGAGAAATACCATTGCTGATGTTAGATAGATCTTGGCTGAAAGCAAAGAATACCACAAAGATGTTTACTTGTGTTTTATTGAGTATGCAGACATTCGACTGTGTGTATCATAACAAATTATGGATAACATTGCAAAGAATGAGAATTCCAGAATACTTAATTGTCCTCATGAGGACCTGTACATAGACCCAAAAAAACCCACCGCCATCGAGTCAGATCCGACTCATAACGACCCCTCCTTGGTTTCTGAGGCAGTATCACTACAGAAGTAGATTGCCCAACCTTCCCCAAGAGGCTGTTATTTGAACAGAACAAGGAGATATTGCACGGTTTAAAATCAGGAAAGGTAGGCGTCAGGGTTGTACCCTTTCACTGTACTTATGCAATCTGTATGCTGAGCAAATAATCTGAGAAGCTGGATTATACGAAGAACACAGCATTGGGATTGGAGGAAGACTCGTTAACAACCTGTGATACGCAGATGACACAGCCTTGGTTCCTAAAAGTGAAGACTTGAAGCACTTACTGATAAAGATCAAAGACTACAGTCTTCAGTATGGATTACACCTCGGCATAAAACAAAAATCCTCACAACTGGACCAATAAGTAACATCTTGATAAATGGAGAAAAGATTGAAGTTGTCAAGAATTTCATTTTACTTGGATCCACAGTCAACATCCATGGAAGCAGCACTCATTGCATTGGGAAAATCAGCTGTGGAAGAGCTCTTTAAAGTATTAAAAGCAGAGAGGTCACTTTGAAGACTAAGGTGCGCCTGACCCAAGCCATGGATTTTCGGTCACCTCCTATGCATGTGAAAGCTGGACAATAAATACAGAGACTGGAGAAGTGATGCTTTTGAATGATGGTGTTGGTGAAGAATACTGAACACACCGTGGACTGCCAGAAGAAGGAACGAGGGTGTCTGAGAAGGAGAGCCAGAATGCTCCTTAGAAGTGAGAATGGTGAGCCTTCATCTCATGTGCTTTGGACACGTGATCAGAAGGGACCACCCCTGGAGAGGGACATCATGCTTAGTAACGCAGAGGGTCAGTGAGAAAGGAGAAGTCCAACAGTAATGGACTGCCACAGTGGGTGCCACAGTGGCTCAAACAGCAGTGGTTGTGAGGGTGGCCTCGGGCCAGGCCGTGTTTCATTCTGTTGTACATAGTGTCCCTGAGTCAGAACTGACATCATGGCACCTAACCACAGCTATCCAGAATCTTCCTTTCCCTCAGCTGTGAGTCACTGTCCCCACTGCCCCCTGGATGCAGGCTTCAAGCTGGGCAGCGTGCGTGTGGACCTGGACACACAGCTCATGGTGAGGCAGGGTCACGTCTGACAGAGAAGGAGGGGCGCCAGTGTGCACCTCCACCCCACCCCACCTCTGTCCCAACTCAGTCATATCCGACCCTGTGACCCAGCTCCTGACATGCCCTCAGCCCCGTCTGCTCTGTGATGGTGGGCTGGGGTCCCGCCAGCCCCGGCCCTCTCCTCATGGCATTCTGGCATGCCCTTGGCCCTGTCCACTCTATGATGCTGAGCTGAGATCCCATCAGCTCTGGCCCACTCCTCACAGATCCTGACATGACCTCAGATCCATCCGCTCTGTGATGGTGGGCTGGGGTCCCACCAGCCCCGGCCCACTCCTCACAATGTCCTGCATTTTACAGAAGCATGTTGTGGAGACATTTTTTGGATTTGATGAGGAGTCCGTGGACTCGGAAACATTATCGGAAACATCCTACAACACGGACAGGACAGATAGGACGCCAGCCACACCTGAGGAAGATATGGATGAGGTAAGCTGACTCCCAGGAGGCTGGGACCCCCACCAGGGCTGTGTGGTGGCGTGGGCTGCATGCTTCCTGCAGAGCCAGACCCTGGACAGCCCCTCCCCCCTGAGCACTGGGCCACCCATGCTGGCATCCAGGCAGGCTGCTCTACTTCCTCAGCACTGTGACTACCTGGGACCCCTTTTCCCAAACACCAGTTACCAAAGGAAGAGGCTGCTGCCTTTGGTCTCTGCAGCCCATGTAGTGAAAGTGCAGCATGGTCAACCCCCTTGGCCACCTCGCTGTCTCCAGCTTGGTGCAGACAGCATCATTGCCTCTTCCTTCCTCCCTCCCTCCCTCCCTCCCTCCCTCTCCCCTCCCTCCCCTCCTCCCCATCCTCCCTCCTCCCCCTTCTCCCTCCTCCCCTCCTTCCCACCTTCCCACCTTCACTCCCTCCCTCCCTCCCTCCCTCCTCCTTTCTTTCCTTCCTCCTTCTCTTCCAGTTGTGGACAAGTATCTATGACAAAACGTTTGCCATTTAGCAAATGGCAATTTACATGAACAGTTCAGGGACATTAACTACCCCCTCCATGCTGGGCAGCCATCGCTGCTACCCATTTCTGCATAAAGACAACATGTGACTGTGGGAGAAAGCTGACATAGTAGCAAGAAGTTGAAGAAGAAAAATGAGCCCCCCGAGCTCCTGTCACCCCCAGCTCCCACTGTCACCCCAGTGCCCTGTCCGCACTCATGGCTGCTATGGTACAAATATGCTGGATTCTCAGGGTGTGAAGAGCACCATCATGCACACACACACACATGTGCACAGGAACACATGCATGCACACACATGCATGCATGTCTGCACACATGCGCACATACCTGCACACCCGCATTCACACAAACATGCATGCACACATGCATACACAGGCACACATACACACACACATGCACAGACACATGCACAGACATGTTTATGTGTGTTGTGCACATGCATGCACGCACACATGTATGTGCATATGTGCATAGACACAATCCATGCACACATGCATGGACACACACAGACACACGTGCACTCATGCCTGTACACATGCATGTGCTCACGAGCCACCCTGCCTTCTAGACTCCATTCTACTGGTACTCCTCCCCCCAGTGGGATCTGTGTCGGCTGAAATGCTAGTTCCCTGTCCTGCTCATCCACCCCTGCTTCTGTGCCCAGTGGCTGTTCCTGAGTCCACCTTGGGTGGGAGGGGCAGGGACTGCTCCTCGATGGGGCATTCTGCAGGGGGATGTGCTCCTCAAGACTTTTGGGCCCCTCAAAGGGCTGCTTCCTCAGCTCCCAGGCCAGGCTGTGGGCATTGCCCACCTCCAGCTTCCCAACCTGTCCCACCTGGGGTGGCGGTGGGTTATTTCCACAGACTCCCTGCTGTCCCTCCCCCTCTAAGTTATCTTTCAAGAGAGTCCCTTGTAAAGGACTCCAGTCTGGCTTCCCCCAGGGGCCCATACGGCCACACGAAAATGCAGCCCCCAGGCAACCCTTCCTGGTTGGGTCAGATGCTCTCAGGGGTCCCGTGAGCCCGTTCTGTGCTGGAAGTGGGGACAGAGAGATGCTCCAGCCTGCGCTACTGGACCAGCTCTGGCCTCACAAATCGGAGACGTTTGACAAGTCCCTTGGGGCAGCCTGAGTGGGGCTGGGCACTGGGGTTTTGTTCCCGGCCACAGCCTTTGCCACAACACAGTGTAGCCGGTTACATTGGGCCTAAATGGGCCTTCCAGACACACTTTTCAGGCAGCTTGTCTCTGCCCATTGTCCTCATCTCTCCACACAACCATGCGGCTGGGCCGTCCTTGCTGATGGCTGCACAGGTCTGTCATGTGGACTTCTGGTGCTTCCTTGGGCCTGGTTGTCAGCATTTGTGGACAACCTGTGGGCACCCTCAGGAGCAACCCCCAGGGTGGGAGTAGTGTCTGAGCTGAGCCCTTGAACTTCACCTGCTTGTCAACAGCAGGGCTGCTTCATGCCCTCCCCCACGTGCTCCTGTGGGGCTCAGGCCCCCTGGCTCCCACAGCTGCTGAGTGATTGTCCCCAATGCTGGGAGTCTTGAGTGGGTTTTTGCCAAGACCAACTCGGGAGCTTGGGCCCACATCACAGCACACATCACACTGCCGCATGTCACACCATGTCATGTGACATCACATCACGTCCCACAATACCACATTGCACCACGTTATATCCCATGTCACATGCTACATCTGTCATGTCATGTCACACATCATGTTACATGTCACATCACACCACATCACATCACACGTCACACTACAGGATGCCATACCATGTCATGTCACATCACACCATGTCATGTCCCATGATGTAACATTGTCTCACATGCTATGTCATGTCACATCATGTCACATATGCCATAGCACATCAAGTACACTACATCCCACTGCCATACCATGTCACATTGTGTCACCCGATGTCATGTCACACCATGTCACTGCATCGTATCCCATCATATCACATGTGACTATCACATGACATCACATCACACCCGTCATATCACATCACGTCATGTCACCTCTCACCGTGTCACTGCATCCCATCACATTCTGCTGTGTCACACCATGTCCCGCCACATCATGCCATGTCCCACCAAGTGCCACCATGATCAGCTGCATCCCTCCATGTCCCGCCACATCAAGCCACGTCCCACCATGCCCTGGCACTGCGTGCCACCGCACATGACCTCACACCCTCCTTTCTTCCCCTGGTGCACAGACCACGAGCAGAGAGGAGTCTGACCTACGGTTCTGCCAGCTGACCAGGGAATACCAGGCACTGCAACGAGCCTACGCCCTGCTCCAGGGGCAGGTGGGCGGGACGCTGGATGCAGAGAGAGAGGCCCGGGTGAGCATGGGGCAGGGAGCCAGGCAGAGAGAGAGGCCCGGGTGAGCATGGGGCAGGGAGCCAGGCAGGGGACGTGGGGGTCTGGCTCTTATAGTGTGGTGCCTTTACCTACCAGTGGTGGTGGGGCTCTGCTGGGGACAGGAACTCACCACTGGGTCTTGATCTGGTGCTGTCCCAGCTGTCGCCTGGCAGGAGCAATCTCCCCAGAGGCCCCGAGCACTGGTGTGAAGATCTAACAAAGCCACACCCACTGTCTGTGCAGAAATGGTTTCAGAATTCAAGGTTATTCTTTTCAAAGCCTCATTGGTGCATGTCACATGTCAACGGTGCTGGTAGGGTAACTAGTTGCATGTAGACTTTAAATTCTGGAGCAACTTCCATTCTGTTGCTTGGAATAATCTGGTGCCCTTCTTGGCACCAAGTCACCCGGGGTCTGGGGCAGCTGGGGATGGGCACTAAGTTGAGGACTGCCACGTGGCACAGCTGGCGGCATTACAGATTTACCCAGCCTTGCCTCCTCACATCCATCCCCTCCGCGCTCCATTCCCTCGTCCAGCTGTGCTGCTGGGTGCCCGCTGGGTCTGACCCCCTGAAGCTCCCTGCACCTCCTCCTCCCCTTGAAGTCACTGGGTAGGGTCTCTGCCTCCTGCTTGATGCAAGGGAGGCTTCCTGATGAGCCAGCCACAGGGCCAGCGTGCTCCCTGGGTGGCACTGAGTCTTTTTGTTTAAGTTTCATCAATTGCCATGAAAATCCAGGTTCCTGGCTTCTCTTAAAGAGTCAGAGAGCTGTCAGCACAGGTCCTGTTACGTTGGCCCTGAGCTGGGCGTGGCTCCAGTTTGCTACAGTCCCCACCATTCCCTGTGCCCCACCCTCACTCAGCTTCCCTTGTGTATGTTGTTTCTGGTCCTGAAGGCACAACTTTTGTGCAGGTGATGTGGGGCTCACAGGGAGTGGGGGCCGCGTGGGGTGTGGAGATTCTGGGTGGTGGTCCCAATTCCTGATGAGCTCACCTTACTGCGTCCCGTGGCCAGGCTGGGCCCAGGAACCCTAGCTTCCAGCTCACTCACCCCTGAAAACATCAGTCTCTGCCCCAGGCTTCAGGTTCCTTGTCCGTTAAATCGACGGGGTTAGACCTGATGACCGCTCAAGACCTTTTTCTTCTTAACAATTTCATATCTGTCAGCAATAGACGAAGCTAAACAGAGACAGGACAGCTGCATCGGAACACGGGCCCCAGAGACAAGCCCACCTCTGAGCCTTTGCCGTGGGCAGCTGGCGTGCCTGCTCCCTGCCTGTCCTCGCTCCTTTGCTGCCACCCATCGCAGGGACCTGCTGACCCTGCTCCCTTCTGTTCCAGACTCGCGAGCAGCTGCAAGCTGACCTGCTGCGTTGCCAGGCCAAAATCGAAGACCTGGAGAAGTTACTGGTGGAGAAAGGACAGGTGAGCGGGAGTGGGTGTTCGCTCTCTGGCGTTAAAAGAAGAAAAGGCCCATCTCCTGGTGGTGTCCTGAGGCTGTTCTGCTCGGAGCTCCAGGGATGTCGGCAAGGTCCCTGGCCGGGCCATGCTACCAGCCTGCCTGCTTGCAGGGCTTCGGGACAATGAGACGTGTTGGGATTCTGCACGCTTTGTTCTTTGCCAGTGAACAAAAGCAGGACGTGACTCCAAAACTGAGCTGGCACAGACGCCCTGCCGCTTGACGCCGGGGGGGCTGTTGCCACCTGCCCGGACTGACGAGAGGAAGTGTCCTGACCCGAGGACAGCTCGGTTCTCACGGGCGGGGCTGCACCTCGGGCTCGTAGCTGCGGCTCCAGTGCCGACTGTCACAGAGCCAGTATCGCCTCCCATGCCGTTTGCTGAACTGCACAGGGTTAGGGTTAGCACCAGAGATAACAGGCACAGCGGAGGGGCGGGGCCTGACCAGGACCCCGCCAGGGGGCTCGTTGCCTGTGGCCACTGTAACCACGAAGTTGGGCTTGTATGAGGACTGCAGTGTACCCTCTCCGTCTGCAGACTGTGAGCCCGAGAGCAGCGCGTCAGTCATGTCGGTTCCTCCGGGGGCTCTGAGGGAGGCTGTCCCTGCCACTCCCCAGCTTCTGGCGGCTCCAGTGCTCCTGGGCTGCAGCTGCAGTGTCACGTGTCACCCTTCCTCTGCCGCCCTGTCTCTGGGTCACTTCTCTTTTGTAAAACACCACCTACATGGGGTGAGGGCCACAGGAGGGGACACGGGGCAGGCGAGGGGGCCCAGGAGGCTGAGAGCTCAGAGGATGAAGCTGACTGGAGAGGGTTCTTGTTCCCTCATTATTTCATTGGTCCGTCTGTCCATCTGGTGTTTACTGAGCGCCCATGTGAGCCAGGCCCCAGGGAAGACAGACACAGCCCACAGAAGTCACCTGGTCACCTGGGTGGGATGTGGCCACGCACAGACCTCAGCAGGGCAGGCCTGGTGAGGATGCAGAGGGATGAGGGTGGGACTGGAACTGCTCACGCGGCCCAGAGGTAGCACAGCGTTGCCTTTGGGGGGGTCCAGGTGCTGGGTGGCCCACCAAACACGGGGCAGCTTTCTGTGAACGCTCACAGTTCATTTGCTGGGGTTTTGGGGACGCGTGCGGGTGGAGGAGGCTTGACTCATGGGCTGCTGAGCTTGCCTTTGGGGCTGAAGGTTTGGCGGGCAGGCGGGCAGGCGGGCAGTCACTTTGGCCCTGCAGGTCTGCTGCTGGCTCACTGGGCTCTGATGGTGTGGACACTCTCAGGCTTCCCTGTAGGACTGGGCTGAAGGTTTGGTGGGCGGGTGGGCGGGTGGTCCCCGGGCCCCGATGGTGTGGATGGTGGGGACGCCGTCTGTCTTCCCCACAGGACTGAGAGTGACGGGCGGGTGGGCGGGGGGTCCCCGGGCCCCGATGGTGTGGATGGTGGGGACGCCGTCCGTCTTCCCTGCAGGATGCCACGTGGGTCGAGGAAAAGCAGCTGCTCATTAGAACAAACCAGGACCTGCTGGAAAAGGTGTGTGCACACAGCCCCTGCCTCGGAAAGCCCGGGTTCGAGGGGCCCTACTCCCACCCCCACCCGGAGAGCCCGGGGTCGAGGGATCCCCACTCCCACCTGTAGATCCTGGAGTCAGGGGGTCCCCACCCCCACTCGAAGCCTGGGGTCGAAGCCTGGGGTCGACTCAAGGGACCCCCCACCCCCACTCAGAGAGCCTGGGGTCGATGGGTCCCCACCCCTACCTGGAGAGACCAGGGTTGACTTGAGGGATCCCCACCCTCACCCAGAGAGCCCAGGGCCGAGGGCCCCCACCCCCATAACCACTCAGAGAGCCCGGGGTTGAGGGTCCTCCACCCACAGAGCCTGGGATCGAGGGACCCCCACCTGAAGCCTTACCCAGAGAACCCAGGCCAGAGTCGAGGGACCCCCACCCCCAACCTGGAGGACCCAGGCCAGAGTCCAGGGTGGGAGTCCCTCTGTGCCATACACTCACCGCCCACTCCACCCGCACCCCTGGTGATGGGGCCCAGTGCCCTCCTGGCCGCCCTGGACCTCACGGAAGTCGTGCCCCCCCCCCTCCCGTGACTGTGGCCGTGGATGTCCAGTGGTGCCCCACAGTGAGACCCTGCAGGGAGTGGAGTCTCGCAGCCCAGTGGGCGGGCAGTGCCCGAGGCTGGCTCAGCCCGTCGGCCCATGAAGCTTGGGCTCCCTCCACTGGGGAGTCCCCAGACTGGGCATCAGCTCCTTGTCGTTTGCGTGCACGTCGATGGTTTTTTCTGTACGTTTTCTGGGCTGTGTGGCCACACGCTGTGTCAGACACGCGCACCCCACAGAGACCTGGGCCCCTTGTGCTCCCTTTCACCCCCCCAGGCAGCCCCGCCCACTTCCTTTCCCTTTCGATTTCCCTTCTGGGGCAGCTGGCCTTAGTGAGTCAGTGCCAGGTGCTGGAAGGAGGGCAGCCTGGTCAGGAAAGAAGGTCCCACTTGTTGGCTCTGCGGCCCAGGAGGGGGTGTCCGCCCTGTCTTTCTCTGAGGCCCCCGGAGGGGGATCTGGCCCCACTGGCTCTAGGCCCGGGGCGGGGAGTCTGGCCTCCTCACCTCTTGTGTGCTCTGCAGCATGGTGGGCTTGGGGGCAGGACCAGCCACTGCTGTGTAGGCATCTTTGATCCCCCCCAATCCTGGAGGCCCTCTCTGAGGGGTGACAAACAGGAAACTTTCCTGCCCTGCTGTCTCAGCCCCGGGGCAGGGCCCCTGAGCCCCTCTGCCTTCCATCTGCAGTGGGGTCCAGGGGACAGATGCACGCAGACTCCTCACTTACACGAGGTGTGAGTCAGGGCTGTTGCCCCGTTCCTTCCACGGGAGCTGAGGTGGATGGCCAAGGAGCATTCAGGGTCACCGGCTGGGCTCAGCCAGTGTCCTGCCTGCCAGGCCAACTCCGTGCTCAGGGTGACTCCCACCTCTGTGCTTCTAGGAGCACTTTCTGGGAAAGGAGAGGGAGTCGGGACCCCGGCTCTACTGGGTAGGAGCTCTGGGCAGGGGGCTGGCCCTGGGAAGGGGTTGAGAAGGACGGGGAGGGCTTGGGGCCATTTAGCCCCTTTGCCTTCGAGCTGAGGGACCAGCCCTCACAGCTCCGTGCCTCAGCTTCCCCCTGTCAGCCTCGGGTCGGGTCTAGCCCCCCGCGGCCCCTTCCCGGGCGCCGTCCCTCAGCTGCCCACCCGCGGGTGTTCTTGCTGCAGATTTACCGGCTGGAGGTGGAGGAGAGCCAGCTGAAGGACGAGATGCAGGACGCCAGGGACCAGAACGAGCTGCTAGAGTTCCGGGTGCTGGAACTGGAAGTAAGAGACTCTCTGTGCTGTAAGCTCCCCAACGGGGCAGACATTCTCTTTGAGCCCAAACTGAAATTCGTGTGATGTGCCCCGGTGCATGCGCACACGCGTGAAGGGACCCGTCACCCGTTCCTTTGTCGAATCTGTGTGTTCAAAGTAATTCACTGCCTTAATACCTGCTGGAGGAAACACTCGCTGTGGTCTGGACGTGGACCAGGGCTGACATCTTTATTGCCGACGGCTTGTTTTGCACTTAATAAAATGATTTGTTTTTGCAATGTTCTGCCTTTTTCTTGGTGTTCATCCCCCTGACGACTCCTGTCCCACACATGTACTCACCTGGCGTGCGTTCTGCATGATGGGCGGAAACACTGCTCACGATAAACACCCCCTCCTCCGTGGCCTGACGCACAGAGCCCGCCTTTTGAAATAGAGGGCTCTGAGCACCGGCACCGGACAGTGCGCTCAGTGCTGGTGTCGACCGTTTTCTCTTTGCCAAGGTCAGCGCCGGGTAAGTAAAGACAGTGGACGTGTTTAGGGCTGCAGAAAGCAGACCACGTGGCCACGGCACCACCTGCTGGCCCCAGGCCTGCGCACTGCAGTGGGAGTGGACTCACAATGAGCACCGTTTGTCCTTGAAACCACGCATCGCTCTTGAGCGTGGAGGGAGACAGTGCTGCCCATGCCGCTCTGTGGTTGCTTCCCCAGCACGCCAACTTGGAGGCAGCAAATCCTGACGTTTCCTGCCTCCAATTTGAAGCATGGCTCCCGTGTGTTACTGTTACTGTGTGGCTGTTACTTCACTCCCATGTTGTTTCCTGATTAAAAGTGACCACCATTCTGAAATCTCCTGAGCCTGGGGCTGGTTGTCACGGCACCCACCGTGACATAGCTTGGCTCCCACAGCCGACACTTTGCATGTACACACCTTGGTTCCCGGCCTCCGTCTCCTCCCGCCTTCCCTTAACACTGCGTCGGGGCTTGCCACACCGTGCGCCGTCACAGGCGCAGGCCGAGGCCCGAGTACTTCCCAGGATCAAGAGTGGCTGGTCACATGCCTCTGGCTTGAGTGGGAGTCTGGCGCTTTACCCTTGCCGCTGCGCCAAGTCTCTCTCGATGCTCCTGTCCCCGTGGGAACCCCTTGCAGGTGTGGGTCCTGGCTCTTTCTGGAGCGTTCCATCGGCTCTGCTCACCGTGCTGGGATTCTGCCCTGCTCTCCCCAGCGCCTTCAGAGCCACAGAACCTGTTTCTGACCTTAGCTCGTGTAAAGCAGGAGTTTGCTTTTGTCCACTTACTGATGGAGACGGTCTTTACAGGAGGTCGTGAGGGCGAAGGGAGTGTGGGGAACAGAGCCTCTGTGAGTTGTCGGCTGGTAAGGGACAGCATTTTCTCTCTGGCCTTGCATCTCTGGCAGAGGCCCTGGCTTCCCTGCGGCCTCACTGAGGGCCCCTTCCCAGGACCTGCCCAGTCACTGGACTCTTGCGCTGACTGAGGAAGCCTCTGGCTCTGTAAGCTGTGTGGGAGTGGTTCAGGGCACGTTGTTTTGGTCTTACAGTTTGAGCAGATGCAAGTGCTTTGTCTGGAAGCTGTGTGGTGCTGTATGTCCTCCAGGGCCACCATGGCTGCTCTGTCAGTAGCCCAGTCCCCGTGGGGACACCCGTTGGATCCAAGCACAGTGAGGGGCTGTCCCCTATCCCCTATGTAGTCAGGTGTCTCGCATCCTCTCTGGAAACATGTCACTTTATCGATGCCTAAGAGGGTGGCCATGAGTTGTAATCGCTCCGATGGCAGTGGTTGCTGGGTTGGTGTTCTGGGAGATGCCTTCCCCCTCTGATGACACAGTTTGACTGTGAATCGGAGGCAGGAGCAGAATGGTAGCTGACTGCCTGCCACTTGCTGTGTGTGTACCCCGCTGCCTGGCACCCCAACCGTCTCAGGGTAGAGGCTGCCTGGGGTTTTCAAAGGACTGACAGGGCTTTTCCTGAGGTGCCCTGGGTAGCCTTTTGGTGAGCAGGTGAGCGCCTAACTGTTTACACCACCAGGGCTCCATTGGTTGTGTTCCTGTGAATAAAAAAAGCCAAGAACAAAGCTGGCAGATGATCCTGAAAAGAATGTGGCCAGGTCTGGGTCCCTGCTGCTCACTGGTATGGGCCTTGGCCTCAGCCCTCAAGGGTCTGTCTCTTTGTCAACAAAATGGAGATGTGGTGGCTGCTCCGTGGGGTGGTCTGAGGGTTGTCCAGGGTCACGAGGCCCCCAGTGCAGGCAGCTCCCATCAGCCTCTGAGACTTGGCACCTGGTGTAGTTCCTGTCACCGCGGTGGTTTCCTGGCGTCCCCACCAGTGCGTGATGCTCTGTGAATGACGCCCTTTAAGCCGTGTGCATTGGAAGCACACCAGGAGCATGGTTTCCAGAAGGAGCACCATGGCAGACGTGAAAACACCTGGCATTTCGTGGGCCAGGCGGCCACAGTGCTTTGTAGTAACTGACGCCTTCACCGCCCGGAACTGGTGGATGTTTGCTGACTGACATGGGGAAGGGTGAGTGGCAGCGAAGCCGTTGCAGTTCTGTCTTTAAAGCGCGTCTCTTCCCCAGGAGAGAGAGCGGAGGTCGCCAGCCTTCACCCTCCACATCAGCACCTTCCCCGAGAGCAGCTGCAGTGCCCTCCAGCTATTCTGTCACCAGGAAGGAGTGAAGGTAGCGTGCTGGGGGGTGGCTCCCCAGACAGACCAGGGCTCTGGAGGCCAGCTGGGTGTGAAGGGGCCGTCCTGTGCCTGTGGCAGACTTGGTTTCTGTGGGATACCTCCCCCCAGCCCATCCCTCCATCCAGTTTTTAGTCAAAGCTTGTTCCCTTGTTCAAGGGCCCCAAAATGTTAAGGGATAAAGAGCAGAAACTCAGGACGCAGCCTTGAGTGCTCCTAGCTCTGGCCCTCACGTCTCCGAACCTCAGTCTCTTCTTCACCCGCACTGTGAAGCGGGCCTGACGGTGTAGCTCGCAAGCAGACGAGTGACAGCTGTGTGTCTGGAGTCCCCCTGGGCCCTGGGGACACGGGGGTGGCCCTTCCCACCCCCACGACCCTATGGGCCTTTCTAGAAGCAGTGTTTGGTGCCGAGCGCAGCCAGCACAGCCTTTACTTGTCTGGGCGCTGGCACTGGATGGAGGGTGAGCTGTGCTCCCGAGTGGAGGTGTGGTGAGCGTGTCCCGCTCGGCCCGCAACTTCAACGTTGGCATCTCTTTCAGGACGTGAATGTCTCTGAGCTTATGAAGAAGCTAGATATCCTTGGTGATAATGGGGTAACTATTTGTGCGCTCCCCGGTTTGTGTTGTTGGGGTTCGGGTGTACTGTGTGGCTGAGTTAAGGGCTGGATCAGCACCACGGAATGTTTTTGTGTGGCTGTGCCCAGTGGGAGGTGGGTCCGTGTTCCTCAGAGGTGGGCTTTGGCATCAGGCCATCCTGTGGAGTCTCACTCTTGAGGGGGAGGTGTAGACACTAACCCTGAGACCAGAAGGTGGCCGTTTACCACTAAGGGCCCCTGTTTCTAACTGGTTTGGGCCACTAAGTGGCTGTCCCCCGGGGGGATGGACGGTGGTGGAACACAGGCCTGGAACCACGTCCCCATGCTGAGCCCAGGCTTGTCCTCGAAGCCAGGTGTGGCCAGCACCACTGTCTGTGTGCAGTCTGGAGTCCAGCCTAAAACGCCCGTTTCTGTTTTAGAATCTGAGAAATGACGAGCAGGTGGCCATCATCCAGGCTGGGACTGTGCTGGGCCTCTGCGAGAAGGTAGAGCCCAGTGTGTGTCCATGCCCCCGTCCCTGTCCCCAGTGCCACACAGGAGCCACGCAGTGTTGACATCTGTCCATGTCCCTGTCCCCATCCCCAGCTCCACACGGAAACCACACAGGTGTCGACATCTGTCCATGTCCCCTTCCTGTCCCCTTCTATGTCCACATAGAAACCACATGGGTATAGGTATCTGTCTGGGTTCCTGTCCCCAACTGCACACAGAAACCACACAGGTGTTGACATCTGTCCATGTCCCTGTCCCCATCCCCAGCTCCACACGGAAACCGCACGGGTGTCTCACTGTTGGCTGCATGTGTTCCGGTGGGCTTCGTGTTTGCGTCTGCATGTGCTTGGCCATCTGTGTCCCAGGGCAGGCAGTACATGCTTACTCGCTTACTGAATATAGTTGACCTGTGAGCCACCCAAGGGCTATGTCTGCGGCCCATGCTCTTTCCTTCCAGCTTCTTTCCATGCCGGCATTTCCAGCGTAGGTGAGCTCACACCTGGCACCCAGTGTCGCAGACTTTAGGCGCCCCCATCGTTTAGTGTGGCTCCTCACGTGGTTTCAATGGCCCCACATGGCTCCATCAAGGGGTCGAGGCCCAGTCCCAGTCATGCCCTGGCTGCTGGGTGTTGCCTGTCTCAGAGCTGATACCTTGCACACAGCCTTCCACCCGCTTTGGCCAGCACTTGTGTGGGACTGACTCCAGACGCGGACTTGCTGGGCCACAGAGCAGGAGCATTAGTTGGGGCCTTGGTAACATTTCCCAGAAAATTGGGACTTTGGTGGCCCCACGTCTTCCCACTCTGCTGGCCACGTCGGTGAGGTCCCCTACACCGTTGTTTCATTTTCATTCGTTTACGTGCTGGCAGTGGGGAGTGTTGGGGTGTGAGGTGTTCTCTGCTCCTTCCTGTGAGTTGTTATCGTGTTTCTTTCTAGGATTTTCCATGGGGGTTCGTTTGTTCATTCACTCACTCAGCACATACGTACTTGTGTGATCATGGTTTCTGTTGGCGACTTCTCTGTCACCACCACCTCACACATGCAGGACGCTGACTTTGTTAAAGACCCCTCCCTGGTTTGCGGGTCTCTGCCCTAGTTTGGGAAGCGTGGGGCTCACACACTGTGTGGTTGCATCTGTAAAGCTTTCTGTCTCGGAGCCTGAGTTATTCGTGACAGGAAACATGGTTGCCATAGAGATGTTGTTAACTGGGATCCCTTCCACTGTCTTTGGGGCAGTATTTAAAATAGAGAGGTGTCCTCCCTGGAAGCCTGTTTCCCCTCCCCCCAGCCAGTGCTGGCGACAGGCTATAGACACCACCACATAGGTCCCAGCATAGCTCCTGGGCCATGCCACACAGCCGCCATCTGAGTGCTGACCAACATTGGCTCGTCTGACTAGGGAAGGTCGAGGCTGCAGGACCACAGTGGGCCCCCTACCTGGGACCTGGGCAGGTCCGCAGGGGTCCCTAAGCCTGTCTGTGTGCCCCTCGGGGGTGGTGAAACTGGGACACAGTACCTGGGGGATGCTTGCTTCACAGGGGTGCTGACCAGAGCTTGTGGCCAGGTGAGCAGGAGGCTCTGGTAAGTGAGGATGGTGGGTGGCAGGTTGCAGGGGTTTAAGGGGAGCTGCATCCGCCAGGTGACCATACCTGGCTGCTCCTCCCACCCACAGGAGCAGGTGTTCCAGCCCACAGTACGGGCCATCCCCAGACCCCTAGGTCTCTTATCCCCCTGGTCAGGTGACCTCAACTGGCCATGCCCACTGTGGGCGTTGTTCTTCTGCTCACCTGGCTGTAAGCCCCACCCACCCAGCTGATCCCTGCCCACCTTGGCCAGTCCCACACCAGATGTGGCCATCTTAGGTCACCTCCAGAATTTCGCCTGGTAGGTCAGCCAGCACCCCGTTTGTGCCTTAAACTTCCAAGAACCACATGGCTCCCCCAGCCCCATGGGGTCCCCCGAGGGCTGGGTCGAGCAGGACAGCCCAGGCCCCACTAGGACATCCTGGGGCCAGGGTCTGGGTGGGCCCCTTGTAAAGTGTCCTTGTCAGACAGTGGGGGTGCAGACACTACTCCCCATTAAAGCCACAGTCTACATCACATCCAGGCCTCCGAGCACCCCTTGGGATGGCGGGATCTGGCAGAAATGGGACCAGTGGGGGTGCTAGGGGCGCTGACCTGGCAGCTGGGCACTCAACACCCAGTTTCCCTGGGCACGAGGCCGTCAGTGCCGAGACTGGACTGTCCTGGCCAACAGGACAGCTGGTCCCCGGAGCTGGCAGCTCACAGAGGCACCACAGCCCCTGGGGCATCACCCACTGAGGCCTTGGCTGGTCCCCTCTCAACAGAGACACCTCCTTATTTCAAAACTTGTTATTTATGCTGGCATCTGAAGAGACTTAAGCCAACTTCTGTTTGCTGTTGAGAGGCACAAAATGGACTTCCAGACAGATGGATAGAGCTGCTCAAACTAGTCGGCATGGCCCATGGCCCGTGGCTCCCGGTAACAAGCTCACCTGGTGCCCCTCCACCCCCTTGTCACAGGCCTGCCAGGCTGCAAGGCCCAGACCAGACTCTGGCCCTGTGAGGCCGGCCCACACATCAGCATCTCCACGCCTGGAGGATGAATGTGAGACCCCTGGCGGCTCATAGGGACTTTGCTGTGCTTCCTCTCCCTCAAGCTCAAAGAGAGAGACAGACCCCAATGATGGAAATCACACATGCGGTGCAAAGCACCTTACTGGAAACATGGCCTGGCGTGATTGCGCTCGGGCTCTCCCCAAGGGAGAGCTGGGTCTTGAGGAGCGAACAGCTCCCAGCTGGCTGGGAGTGCCACTGCCTTGCTTCTGAGGACCCCTGAGAGGGGACAGGGAGGCTTGGGGGAATCCTGAGGCCAGAGATGGCAGGAAGCCCCTCCTTGCACAGGTCACTCCTAAAGGGGCCGAGGAGAGTGGGCCCCCCTCTCAGGGGCTGGGGGGACAGGCACCTCTCTCAGGGGCTGAGGGGAAAGGCACCTCTCTCAGGGGCCGGGAGGACAAGCACCCCTCTCAGGGGATGGGGGAACAGGCCCCCATCTACCTCCCCTCCTGCAGGGTGGGCTCAGCGACCATTGACTGGCCCATCGAGTGCCAAGTTGTGCTTCACACAGCAGCCCTGGTGGTGCTAGCCCAGAGATCAATGGTTTGAACCCACCAGCTGCTCTGTGGGAGAAAGATGAAGCAGTTTGCTTCTGTAAAGATTGATAGCCTTGGAGACCCTGTGGGCAGTTCCACTCTGTCCTCTAGGGGCGCTGTGGGTCAGAATGGACTCCACGGCAGTGGGTGTGGTTTGGGCTTTGCTTCTGTGAAGACTGACAGCCTGGGAGACCCTGTGGGCAGTTCCACTCTGTCCTCTAGGGGCGCTGTGGGTTGGAATGGACTCCACAGCAGTGGGTGTGGTTTGGGCTTTGCTTCCGTGAAGACTGATGGCCTTGGGGGCAGTTCCACTCTGTCCTCTATGAGTCAGAATCAACTTGACAGCAGGGGTTTTGTGGGTCACAGGCCCTGGGAGCCTCCCAGCAGCTCTGCCCCATCTCTCCTGGTTACTGAGAGGACTTGTTAGGTTTCTCTTTACATCAAATCTTTTTTAACAACTGGTGCCCTTCTCAGAGCAGCTGGATTTAGTGGTCCCAATGGGTCTCTTTTCCATTTTAATTTGTATTCATTTTATGATATTAAAAATTGAGTATTCCCAATTCAAAGTTATAATTACCTGTTCCTTGGAAACTGCATGCCCTTTTGTAATGGCTGTCTGAGGGCCCCTTGGGGCTGTCCCTGCTCCGCTGGGTGCTTTGGGGCCAAACTGATTTGACGTGAGGGAGCCCATGCCCTCCCATGCATTGCAGGCTGGTCGGGAGGTGATGGTAGTAGTGGGTCCCACGTGTCAGTGAGTGTGCAACAACCACAGGAGGTGGGCACTCCAGGGAGGACCAGGCCCAGGTACTCAACAAGCAGGGTGGACTTCCTGGAGGAGGTGTCAGCTGACTTGGGGTCTGCAGGCTGAGTAGGTATTGGCTTGGAAGGGCCTGGGGCTGGGACTGGGGTGGTGCAGGGGCTTGGCCTGTTTGAGCAGACTGATCTCTGACCAGGGTCTGACGGGAAGGGGAGTGCAGAGGCCAAAGGCCATTGCTGGGCAGTGGGGGCCGTGGAGGGTTGAGTAGGAAGAACAGCAGATGTTGTTGAGAGCACATGCTGCCCGGTGGGCAGAGGGATCTGGGGTGAGGGTGGGGGTGGTGGGCATACAGGGGTGCTCAGGTGAGGAGCATAGAGGGCATGGGGGAGGGAGGAGGCTGAGGGCAGGGCACAGATCCAGAGTGGGGTGACTGAGCCCCAGGAAACAGGTGTGCAGCAAGGGGAAGGCCAGCAGGTCAGTCCTGGCCACGGTCAAGGGCCACAGGCTGAGACGTGTCTGTGGATTAGCAACAAGCCCGAACCCTAAGACACAGCTGCCCCCATGGAGCTAGTCACCTGTCATGCACTTTCTCCCCTCCAGGTGTGTTCCCTGTAAAGACACACCCACACACCTGCCCCTCAGAAATGTGCCTGCCACTGTGTGCTCACCCCTACCCCAGACTGAGGACAAAGGCAGACCTTCCCCACCAGGCTTGACCCGCAGGGGCCTACCCCAGCTGTACCTGCCCAACAGGTGCATGCCCTGCCCGGACTGTGTCCCCCTGGTAGTGGGCACCATACGTGGACCTGCCCCTGCAGGGGTACTTCCCCCTGCCCCTTCCCCTCACAGGTGCACTCCCTGCCTAGACTTGCCCCTCACAGGTGCACACCTTTACCAGGTGCATGCCCTGTCCAGACGTGCTCCTCCTGTGAGTGCACATCACACCTGGACCTGCCCCTGCAGGTGTGGGCCCCCCCACCTGCACCATACGTGTGTACCTCACTTGTACCTGCCCCTGCAGGTGTGTGCCCCCCTACACCTGCCCCTTCAGGTGTGGCCCCCCATCCCTGTCCCTGCAGGTGCCCCCCCACCTGCCCCATACGTGTGCACCTCACCTTCACTAGCCCCTGTACGTATGTGCCACCTTGCACTAGCCCCTGCAGGTGTGGGCCCCCCACCTCCCTCACATGGTGCACCTCACCTGTCCCTCTCCCTGCAGGTGTGGGCCCCACACCTTTACAGCTGTCCACCCGTGCTCTCTCCATGCCCTTGTGCCCAGCCCTAGGGCTCTTGCTTACTTGCTCGTGAGGTATGGCTCTCACACACCTGCTGGTGCTCTGTGGCCCTCCCCTGTCAGCCTACACCCTGTGGGAGCTGGTGGCTCAAGTGCTCCATACCAGTCTGGGACAGGTAGTGGCTTTGGTGTTGGCTGGGCTCAAACTTCTGCTCTCCATGGTGTGATCATGTCCTTATGTGCAGGCGGGTGGGGTGAGCAGGGGACTTGGCTCACGCTTCACCCCCCCGTTCACTCAGACTCACACTCACACCCCCACACTCGGGCTCACCGTGCCCCCATGCACCATCACCCTCACGCCTGGGCCTGGTGACCGCACCATAGCCACACCACTGCCCGTGTATATGCCACACCCCACCTGCTGTCCTCCCTGGTGAGGGGCCCCAGTGTGCCCAGCATGGACACGGGCTGTGGGGACACCATGCTCATCCCGGCACCTGACCCACTGTGTTCCAGTGGCTGAAGCAGATTGAAGGCACCGAGGCTGCCCTGACCCAGAAGATGTTGGACCTGGAAAAGGAGAAGGTAGGGGAGGGGGGGAGGGGTAGGAGAACCCTTCTGGGGTGGGGCTGGGGGAAGGAGAGCCCCTTGGGATGCTCTGTGGGGTCTCATATCTCTCTGGCAGGGGTGCCTGGGCGTGTCATTCTGCCCTGGCTGCTCTGGGGGATCCCACCCACTCGCCACTCTCTCAGTCACTCATTGGTCACTTGTGCATGCCCCAAGCCTGTGCTTCGCTCAGGATGCTGTGGGGACCAGGCTTCAGGAGTGAGTGGCCCAGCCCTGCCACAGGGCAGCGGCAGGCTGGGCTGTGTTCCTCTCTGGGATCCCAGGGTGTGAGAGGGGGGTAGCCACAGCCTCCATGTGGGGACACTGAGCCAGTACAGATGAGATAAGTTCCAACACCCTGAACCCTTTACAGTTGGTTCGGGCCTGCTGTGCACATGTGGGCACACCTGGCACCAACAGTGGGTTCAGTCGCTCGCTGGGCTGCAGTGAACAGAGGGTGCTCGCCTGGCCTGGGTGTCAGGGAGACACCCAGGAGAGAAGGTTCGGGAGCCTTTGCAGGCCAGCATGAGTGCCCTGGGAGAAGTGGGAGAAGGAGCGAGGGTTTCCTGGGCAGGAGGTTCTATGGGAAGTCCAGGCGCAGTGAGGGCTCGGGCCGGGGAGCTGGTTCTGTCCCCACTCCCACCACTGAGCTGGGGCACTGGACGAGGACTGGGGACTCTGTCTCCTCCTCCAATGAAAGAGGTCTCCCTGGGGGGTCTCTGTAGGAGAACCTGGATAGACTGGGAGAACAATGTGGAGCAAAACTCAAAATCACTTTAAAAAAAAAAGAGAGAGAGAGAGACCAGGTCTGATAGAGCCCGATGGAACCACTGAGCTTATGGCCCTTAGCTGCCCTTCAGGTCTGGAAGTGAACCCACTCCTGTGGCTGCCAGCCAAACAAAAGACAGGCATATGAGCTGAACATTTACATTAGGTAGATACACTCCTTGGAGAGATCAATCACGGGAGAACAGAAGGGCGGTGTATGCACAGGGAGACAGCTCAGGGGGCAGGAGTGCATGGGAGGAAGGACACAGGGAAGAGATAACTACTGGGAGGAAGCGGGAGGGGAGCTGTTGCATTGTGGGAAATTGCAGTCCATGTCATGAGAGAAAGTATATGTGAGCTGCGGTATAGAAAGTGAATTTGCTCTGTAAACCTTCACCCAAATCACAATAAAAATTTAAAAAAGAAAAGAAAGAGATCTCCCTTCAGAACAACCATGTTTAAAGGATAAGCTGGCTGTGGGGGAGCCTGTCAAGAGATGATTGGGGGGTGTACCTGGGGGCAAATCTGGAGGTGACCTGGCAGATTGTGTCAGCAGGTGACTTGAGGGATTATGTAGGGAGGTGACCTGGGGGGCCGTTCTCGCAGGAGGAGAAGTGGATAGGACAGGACGGAGGGAAAGTTCAGGAACCCTGATGAGTGGGAAGAGGCCAGAGGCCATCTGCTATGTGGGTTTAGGCATTGGAGCCACTTGGTCAGACGCACTAGAGGTGCCCAAGGTCCCAAGGCACCCAAATTCCTGGGACATCCGGTCCTCATCATCCCTCATCATCATGCAGCCAGATGTGGTCATGAAGGGGACCCTCAATTGGGCAGCCCCCCTTCGGGGACCACACAGGGTGTGGCGGGAGGTCATCCGAGCCCCCAGGACCCTGGTGCTGTGCGACGGTGACTCTCTGGTGGGAGTGGGCGTGCCGACCCTGAAGGCCGGCTGTCACAGCACCACCCCTTTTCCAGGACCTGTTCAGCCGGCAGAAAGGTTACCTAGAGGAGGAGCTGGACTACAGGAAGGCGGCCCTGGACCAGGCTCACCTGGTAGGAGTGGATGGGGGTCATGTTCTGGCTTTTAGGCCCATATCTTTTGAGACAGAAGCCATATGTGGGGGGTCCCAGTGCTGGGGGGCTTGGGGCAGGGGGACAAACACCAGCTCCCTGTAGGTGCATGGTCAGGTCCACATCAGCCATGACTTCCAAATATATACAAGGTTCACTTAGACACATACATCACATTTTAGTAACCACTGGAGATGAGAAGGGCTGTCTTTCCTGTGTGTGTATCCGTACTTACGTTTTTATTTGTTCCTACAACCCCAGAGTGGGTTTTCCTATTCATAGGAAAAGATGGGCTGGTCACTTGCCATTAAAATTATTTTACAAAATGTGTTGGCCCTGAGAAATGCAGAGTCAGCAACTATCAAACGAGGTCCAAACCCTGGTTTCCATGAGTGTCTCCAGAAGACGAAGGTTGGTGGTCTGGGCTCAGCACAGATGGGAGGTTCTAGACACAAACACTGTTCCACCTCCCTGTGGCTCCTGGCCCTTCACGTGGAGGCTCTGGGCCAGACCCCTGGGGCAGGAGCACGAGACCCTGACCAGAGGGAATGGAGCCTCACCTGACAGGGCGAGCGCTCTCTGGACACACAGCACAGTGACTCACACAGCGCAGCTGCAAACAAAAGCAGGCCGGTCCGCACTCCCGTGCACCTCCCACCCTCTTCACCTGCAGGTTTCCCTTGCTCTGGCCTGCCCTGGCCCTTTGCAAACACCTCCTTCTCTCCCCTGAAGGACCTAGGTTTCTGTCGAGCCCACTCCAGGCATTTTCCAGAAAGTTCCAAGAAAACTGGTTAGGAGCAGTTTCAGGAATTTAAAGCCAAAGTAAACGGGGGTGCAGTGAGGGGTGGCTGCAGGAGACCATGCTTGAGAACTCCGGTGGCGGTTCCCATTCCTCGCCTGTAGTCTGCCGAAGGGCAGTCGGCATCTTCTCTCTGACAGGGAGTGGCAGCCCTTTGCCAAGCCCTGGGGATCACAGCCCTTTCCTGCGGGGATGGCTCAGTCTCCCCGGGCTGCTGTAACAAAAATGCCACAAGTGAGCAGCTTTAAAGGACGTGAGTGTATTACCTCAAAGTTCTGAAGGCTGGGAGCCAAATCAAAGGGGGGTCCCTCCTTGTCATTCACCCAGACATGCCTTGGTTCTGGGGTGTCATAGATTGAACTATGTCCCCACAAAATATGTGTTGTAAATCTACCTTGCCTGTGGTTCCAATTCCTTCAGGGATTATGGGGTCTTTGTGTTGTGTTAGGGGGCAGTTTTAGTGCAGAGTGTGCCTCAGGTCAGTCCCGCGTGGGATATCAGAGAGCAGACCAAGCAGGCAGAGATGGGGGACGAGAGACATGGAGCCACGTGATGAGCACCAGGGAACCAGGGAGCCAGGGAACCAGAGAACAGACGCTGCAAGAGACAAGGACGTGCCCCCAGAGCAGAGAGAGCACACCCTAGGGCCAGGGGCCTGGATTGGAGTTTCTAGGCTCCTGAACAGTGAGAAAACGTTTGTCTGTTAAAGCCACCCACATGTGGTGTGTCTGTCACAGCAGCACTGGATAACAGACGGCGCCTACTGTGGTGTGTCTGTCACAGCGGCTCTAGATAACTGAGACTGCGTCCGCTGTGGCGTGTCTGTCACAGCGGCTCTAGATAACTGAGATGCCACCCACTGTGGTGTGTCTGTTACAGCAGCTCTAGATAACTGAGACGGCGTCCGCTGTGGTGTGTCTGTCACAGCAGCTCTAGATAACTGAGACGGTGTCCGCTGTGGCGTGTCTGTCACAGCGGCTCTAGATAACTGAGATGCCACCCACTGTGGTGTGTCTGTTACAGCGGCTCTAGATAACTGAGACGGCATCCACTGTGGTGTTCCTGTCACAGTGGCTCTAGATAACTGAAATGCCGCCCACTGTGGTGTGTCTGTCACAGCGGCTCTAGATAACTGAGACGGTGTCCACTGTGGTGAGTCTGTTACAGCAGCTCTAGATAACTGAGACAGCGTCCACTGTGGCGTGTCTGTCACAGTGGCTCTAGATAACTGAGACGGCGCCCACTGTGGCGTGTCTGTCACAGCAGCACTCAGTAACTCGCAGGGTAGAATTTTGCGAGACCAATGACTTGTTCATTGCAAATACCTTTTTCAACAACACAAACAGTGGCTGTACACATGGACTTCACCAGATGGAACACACAGGAATCAAATTGACTACATCTGTGGCAAGAGGCAATGGAAAAGCTCAATATCTTCAGCCAAAACCAGGCC